AACTCAGTACTGAAGGTTGAAAATGTTAGCCTTAAACTTCATCACACACTGGATTACTCATTAGTATACTTGAAATATTTTTTTCCTCTTTGTATGGCATGAATTGAGATGTATACACTTTGTTTTAGTTTTATATCTGTTTACAAGATACTGGATCTGAGTGTTCAGTTTATTCTTATATCTTCTGTTATAATGTATACTATTTTTAGAAGAAATATAGATTGTCAATGTTTGACTTTACTCTATTTGTTTTTATTACAGCTAGGAAAACAGTTCTTTTCCTTCTCACCAGTCACCTTGGGACCACTGAACTATCAACTAGTTGTGCTGTGTAAAAAACATCTTACATACAAGATTCATGGTGTCTTAAAGCACCTATGTTTGCAACAGATACCGCTGTTCAAGAAATGAATATGCACTTTTTTAATCTTTTGCATGTGAAAAATGAGTTAATTTTGATAAGATGATGAACAAAGATGTTTATCTAGAAACTTGCAGTGGAGTTACTAACTATAGAGAGGTATGAAACCTACACTGAGTGAACTCTTCCTGAATTAGTAACCAATTTGATAATGAAGGTTAGAGAATCACATGAACACTGAAAAGGCTCTACTAGACTTATCAGTTTTGTTCCATTATATCTTTCTCCTATTCCTATACAAGACCCATTCTCCCAGATTTTCCAGTACTTTGGCTGCCATCTCTGTGCTGACAGAATAACCAGTGGCCCTTCCCACCCACTTTAGCTTCTATGAAGATGTCCAGACCTCTGTATCATTTAATTCCTGCTATCTAAGACAGGGTGATCCTCATAACTGTTCTTCAACAGCAAAAGTACAGTCTTGTGCTCCAGGAACGCCCCTAGTTTTGCTGTGAGGTCAACTATGGGGCAACCCCAACAAAACAGTGACAGTGTCCAGTTGCCTTACTGGCTGCATGCAGTTCTCTTTGGTCTGTGGAGAAGAATGCAAGATGGGTTTGGGGCTGTCCTTCGGAAGCCTACCATAAAGGATAGAGTAGTCAGTGTGGCCCTGTGTTTAAGAATTAAGTTGTACAGAAACTGTAAACCATACTTCTTCCTGAATAGTGGAGAGCTGCAACTCAATCTGCGCAGCGCTTCATGCAAGAGACTGCATGTTTTGCACTGTCTCAAACTGCCTGCCTCCCACAGTTCCAAGTCAAGCTGTTAGCATGTGGGAAAAAATGTAAATTCTGCCTTACAGTGGTTTAAGTTAGGGTAACACTGTTGATTTGTGGCCATAGTTGGAAATTATTTGTCAGCAGAATTTTTTAAACAAGGTCAAAGAAAGTGCATGGTACTTATAATTTAAAGAGCAGCCTACTTCTGTAATTTTTGCAGCGTATCGTGTTCTTCTGACCAAAAGCAATTAGTTATTCATAACTGATTTCAATGTATCTTGTAAGTCTTAAGTTTTGGGTCAGTCTTGGACAGTAGGGCAGAGTGCCATTAAATGAGGACTTGGGCTTGTTGCCCATTTTGACAAAAAAGTGCTTTTTCTAGCTCCTGAGCTCAGCCAGTCCTGATTGCATGGCTATGCTCAACTGGCCTTAGCTGGGTAGGGAAGGCATGGATCTATGGTCGGATGGGCTAAATACAAGCAGCACTAAGAAGAATTTATTTGGAAAGGTGGAGTCTGTAGTATTTGTTTGCCTATACCTTGGCCAAGGACTGGGACTGAGTCCGTCTTATAAGAAACGGATGGCAAAGAGAAGTTGATGGATTTGGGAAAGATTTGCCTGTACCCTCTGATGGAGGCAGGGAGGCGATTAAACAGCTGGGCAGACTTACTAGTTGGTTTGATCTCTGTATTTTACCATTGTAAAATGGTGATTCTTGATTTCAAAGGCTGGTCGTTGGGGTAAATGTAGATTTGTTACTGTGGTAATGAGAGTCGCATGAGAATCTTAAATGTGAGAAAGATAAAGCAGTTCAAATCTTGTTAGGATGGGATCAGCAAGGGTGGCTTTGGCCTTTTTGAACTCTGACATGAAAGAGTATTAGTGTGTTGGGTTTGTCCAGGCTTTGTTTACTGGTCTTATTAAAACTGGAGAAGAGATGAGAAAGAAGTAGCTTCTGTCAGAAATAATCGGTGAGAAGTAGTGTCTATGGTGTTAACTTTTTCTCTCCTTGGATGTATGTACAGAAATAGTTTCCTTGACTAAAAATCTTAGTTATTTACAGCTGCGTCTTTCAACTTTTTTAAAGAAAACTCCAGAAACAAGTGTTAGTAACTTGGAAAATAAATATGTTCTGTGTATCTGTGTACAGCATGAGGTAGATATGCAACTTCACATATCCACACAATGGTGCTTTTTATGATAAGTTTGCTTCAGAATTGCCCAGTATTTGGTTTGCGAATGCTTTCTGTCTCCAAAAATAACCAAAGTTTCATTTTGTTGATGACATAAAACACATTTACACAACTAGAAAGTTTCTTAACAGGAAAAGCCAGGATAAGAATCAGAAAAGGGCACTCAAATCTTTACACTAGCAATAATATCTTGAGTCTAAGCTGAGGATTTTTTGTTATATTTGTGCCCAATGCATGTGAGCTTCCCCTACTCCTCTCAAGCTTCAGTTCATTCACAATCCCATAAATAGTTTATTAGATTTTTTTTTTTTATCCTAATTTACTTTTGTCTCTATTTTCTCTGAAGCTGAGGAGTTCACCAGCTCAAAGTTCTATTAAAAGCCTGTTGCCCTCTAACCAGAAAACGCCTACCATCTCGTGGTGAGAGGTGATACTACAGCCCTCTCCTTTCCTCCCGTGAAAATGCAGCCACGCTGAGGGCTGGTGAGCCCATCTGTAATTGCAGACACCCACCAGGGAGATCCAAAGGCAACTGTAATCAGGATGATGGTGTAGCTAAGGCTGAAAGTGTAGTCCTAAGGATCTTGGATTTGGTCACAGTCTCTAGCTTGGAGAACATCACAGAGTTTTTTGTTTTGTACAGATGCGTGATGTTTCTTGGTTTTTATCTCTGTAGGTAGGTAGGGACTGAGGCACTATGTTTGTGTAGACTAAGGCACAATCATTTCTGGGGGGCAGACAGGACAGGCATAGGCACAGGTTTGCTCTAGTATCTGTTGCAGTGCAAATGAAGAAGTGATCCTGACTGCTTTCAGAATCCTACAGTGTTGTGTCACTGATTTAAAAAAAAAGAAGAGGTGAGTATGTTTTAAGGGTTCTGTGGCCTATAATTGGTTTTCAAAAGGACTAGTGACTTCTCTGTAACTCATTTGTCCTTTGGCCTTCATATCTAATCTGTATCATGTTTGCTCTTATGCTTCTCTTCAATGTTTTTCTTTAAAAACCAGGCATTGCAACAAAAAAGAATAGACTACTTACTAGTTTCTGAAGTAGCAGTAGCATTTTAAGCTTTTGAATGCTTAAATGAATCAGTAAGCCCATTGAAAAAAAACAGTTTTTTATTTTGTTCCCTGTGATTTGTAAGATTTGTGCATTTAGTCTTGAAACTGAAAACTGAAAGATCTGAACCATCACTGCGGCTAAGTATTGATGTTTTAAGGAAGAGTAATGGAAGGCCACTGATTAACTTGTAACTAAATAACAGCTGAACCAGTCAGGCTGTCAACTGAAATGTTAATGTTCATGTATCAAAAAGTGGTGACTCATGTCCACTTCGAATCTAAAGCCTTTCAAAGAAGCTAGGGGAATAATTTCCATCAGAAAGTGCTGTAATGCACAAACAGCTCCACTAAAGCTATGGAAGACATGACAATGTCAGGCTTTTGAGATCATATGAAATTATGAAATCCTTACATGTAAAATTTCTGCTGAACAGTACAGTGTGCTAGAGGCTTTACCTCTGTGGCCTGGGGTACTGTATTGACTAGGGGAAGAAATTACAGTTATTCTGGTACCACACAACAATATAAAAAAAGATTATATGAGAGTAGCTTCCACTGGATAGGTTTCTTCAGCCTCCCAGTACTTAAAGGGGGCCTACAGGAAAGCTGGAGAGGGACTTTTTACAAGGGCATGTAGTGATAGGACAAGGGGAAATGGCTTTAAACTGAAAAAGGGCAGATTTAAATTAGATCTAAGGAAGAAATTTTTCACTCTGAGGGTGGTGAGGCACTGGAACAGGTTGCCCAGAGAAGATGTAGATGCCCCATCCCTGGAAGTGTTCAAGGCCAGGTTGGATGAGGCTTTGGGCAACCTGGTGTAGTGGAGGGTTTCCCTGCCCACGGCAGGGGGGTTGGAACTAGATGATCTTTGAGGTCCCTTCCAACCCAAACCATTCTATGATTCTATGATTCTTAAAGGGGGCTAGTAGCCTACTTTGATTGCTTCACTGCAAATCTAGATAACGTGTGTATCCATCAGCTTTGGATACACCAGCCCGTTAAGGACTCTTCATGAGACCTGCTGAGAGCCACTGAGGTTATTAATATTGAATGGTCTGAGTGGTGTGTTACCATATAAGTGGTATGTACAGTGGGGAGATGTGGACAGGGAAGAGGATTCTGAGCTCTGTGAAAAGACAGGGTTCTCATGACTGTTGTTCATCTCTGAGCCCTGCAATAATATCAAGATGTTCCAGAGACTAAGAAACATGCAGCAAGGTTGGCATCAAGGCCGTGCACATGCCATGAGAAGAACACCTGGCATAAACAGGGGGCTGTGCACATACTTGGACTGCTGTGTAAGACTTAAAACTACAGGAATACACGATTCTACCATTGATTGGAGCCTGGAAAGGGGCTCCGTATGCTATAAATTTGGTAAAGGGAAAATAAACTTAGATTTGATCCCTAGCATTTGCAGAGTCCGTGTGCTTACTACACTACAAACGGTGCCTGAATGGGATTTGGAGAGACAAACAACTTAAAGAGGCACACCAGTGGCGTACCCCAGCTGGACGGAGAAGGACTGTCGAACCACACGTGCTGACTACTAACGAGATTGCCTGTCACTGGTCGACAGCTGTAGGGAGATTCGTCTGCCGTTACCATGGGGCAGATTGCTACAAAAGAGCAGAAATTACATACTGAGACTCTGCAGGTGCTTCCTGATGACCAGGGGTTCAGACTCCAGACCTCACAGTTAGTCACACTGCTTTTATGGGTCCGGAATAATTGCCCCTGGTTCCCTGCTACAGGATATGTTCTGGAAGAACTAATAGTGACATGGAGCCTAGTTTATGTAGCAATAAGATCTTTAGGCCCAGCAGGGGACATCTTGCAAACTGCTGCGGCTGCCCCTCCATGTCCTACGACTGACAGATCAGTCGTATCTCAAGATGATTCCTCTCTTAAACTGTCACAGGAGGAGACAGAACATGATGAGGTGCTCGACCCTCAAGGGGCCCCACCTGAGGATGACCTGTTGCTTAACGATCCTTCTGATATGGGGTCCGTAGATCCAGAACAGGACTTTGATTTAGATCCACCTTTAACTCCTGTGAATGCCATACCCAATGCAACACCTACTGTTAGAGAAATTCTGCAGTGTCAGCACAGGGGGAAATTCTGCAGCATCAGCATGGGAGAAGGAACACCTCCGCTGGCACCGACTGCACCCCCATTCACCCCTTCTCCATATCGGTCAGACTGGCAAGTAAAGGAGAAAGTTCAGTGTCTGCCTCTGCTGACATCTACGGGACTATTAGATAAATGCCGTGTGGAAGCGCTAAAGAAAGGAGATGTGGAGCTCCTGCAAGCAATGCCAGTGATCTGTAGGCCTGATGCACCTCCGCAGTTTGAGCATTTGCCATATGAACTCATTAAAGAGGTGCACAAATCCATTAAGGACTATGGACTTCACACGTCATTCACTATGATTTTATTTCAGGCCATTGGGGATTCATATACTATGACCCCTGCTGACTGGAAATCCATATTGCGATTGGTGTTATCTGCTACCCAGTATTCCGTACGGTTAACTCAATTAACAGAGCTCGTGAATCTACAGGCTCTGGATAATATGACCGCCGGAATTAATGTGGGTCAGAATGAGCTTTTGGGGGAAGGTCCATATGCTACGAGTCAGGCACAGGCAGGATTACACCAGGTAGTTTTCCAAAAACTAACTGAATTGGCTATGAAAGAATTAAGACGTGTCCCTGATCTTGGGACAGGGGAGGCTTCCTTTGCTTCTATTTGGCAGGAAGCTCATGAACCTTATATGCGTTTCCTTGATCCGCTGCAAACGGCAGTTCAGAGACAAGTAGAAAATCCGGCTGCTGCAGATGTACTGCTATTCCAGCTAGCGATTGAAAATGCTACTGCAGACTGCCAGCAAGCTATTGATCCTATTAAAAATCAGGCAAAAACAATTGCAGATTTAATAAAGGCGTGTCAGAATGTGGGCTCAGAACACTGTAAGGCAGAAATATTGGCAGCTGCTTTGGCACAACAGATGGTTATGGCCCGAGCAGCTGTTAAATGTTTCTCCTGCAGACAAGAAGGGCATATCAAAAAGATTGTCCTAAAAATAGAAATCAAAGCAAAAAGGGAGTTCCGACTCAACTCTGCCCACGTTGTTATAAGGGATATCACTGGGTAAAACAATGCCGATCTAAGTTTGATAAACAAGGCAATCCTATTTCGGGAAACAGGAAAAGGGGCACGCGACCCGGTGCCCCGAAAATTTAAAACAGGGTCATTCAACCTGTAATGGACCCTGGACACAGGGTCCAGGCGGGTTGAACAATCTGTCACTGTCAATGCCCTCCAGCCCTCCACCTCAGGGAGCGCAGGGCTGGATTTGGCCACAGCAAAATCAACAGTAATCACTGACACGTCAGTACATTTAATTCCTACTGGTGTCTTTGGTCCTATACCACAAGGATTAAGTGCACTACTGCTGGGACGATCATCCACCACACAATCAGGATTGTTTGTACTCCCAGGGGTAATCGATTCTGATTATAAAGGGGAAGTAAAAATTGTAGCATGGGCTCCTTCACCACCATGCACTATTCCGGCTGGGGAAAGAATAGCACCATTGCTTTTGATGCCTCAAAGCACCACATCGCCTCCATTGTGTAACACAGATAGAGCTATAGGAGCATTTGGTAGCACAGGCCAACCAAACATCTTTTGGACACAGAAAATCACGGCTGGACAACCTCTTTTAACAATAACCATTAATGGGAAGGCTTTTTCTGGCCTAATTGACACAGGGGCTGATGTATCTATAGTGAAAAAATCTGACTGGCCGCCCTCTTGGCCTCTGATACAAGCCCTGGCAGCTGTGATCGGAGTAGGTGGAACACAGATCCCACAGCAGAGTGCACAGACCTTGTTAGTAGTAGGCCCAGTTAACAAACAAGCTGTTTTGAAACCATATGTTCTTGATGCTCCATGTACGCTATGGGTTCGGGATTTGTTGAATCACTGGAATGTGAGGCTAACCACAAATTTTTAGTGCAGGTCACTGTTGTCCAGCCCAGACTCAAGCTGGCCTGACAAGCTGGTCTGGGTTGATCAGTGGCCATTAAAAGGTGAGTGGCTGGAGTGGGCTCAAAAATGAGTCGATGAACAGCTCAAATTAGGATATATAGTCCCCTCCACTAGCCCATGGAATACTCCAATATTTGATATCCCAAAGAAATCAGGAAAATGGAGATTATTGCGAGATTTAAGAGCTATTAATGCAATCATGTCACCAATGGGTGCATTACAACTGGGTGTACCAAATCCTACTATGATTCCAGAAACTTGGCATTTGATGGTGATGGATTTAAAAGATTGTTTTTTCACTATTTTTTTACACCCTGATGATCGTCCAGATTTGCCTTTTCAGTTCCAGTGCTTAACAATGAACGACCCATGCAATGATATCATTGGATTGTACTGCCTCAGGGCATGATGAATAGTCCCACAATTTGTCAATTGGTGGTAGATGATGCTCTCCGTCAGGTCAGACAGGTACACAAGAACATTATATTGTGTCATTATGTGGATGATATTTTGTTGGCTGCAGAAACAAAAGAAGCTTTACAGCAGGCATTTGAAACCGCCGAGCTCATTTTACATAAATACAGCCTACAAATTGCCAAGGAGGCTCCCTGGAAATACTTAGGGTGGAAACTTTTTGAATCACAGATTTTTCCTCAAAATATTCCATTAGTAGCAAATGTTAATACTTTGAATGATCTCCAAAAATGGCTCGGAAGCATTAATTGGGTTAGGCCTTCACTTGGCATATCCACTGAAGAGCTTTCTCCCTTGTTTAATTTGCTCAAGGGAGACCCTGACTTGACCTCTGTACACAGACTAACTGAACCTGCTAAACAAGCTCTTCAAATGGTTACAGACAAAATTAACACTACTTTTGCTCATTGAATTAATATAAAACTTCCTGTTTGTTTGTTTCTGATTTACAACACCTTTCAGCCTTATGCATTGTTGGGACAATGGAATATAGACGATGCTGAGGATTCGATGTGCTTGAGAATATTTGAGTGGCTTTTTCTCCCTCATTCGTTAGCTAAAACACTCACTACTGTGCTAGACATGCTTGTTCGTCTTATAGCACAAGGATGACTGAGATGTCAAGAATTAACAGGATGTGACCTCAGATTATTCATGTACCATTTTGTAAAGAGGAATTTACTGTTTTAGAGTATGATAGTCTTTCTTTTCATATTGCAATGGCTGACTTCAATAATGAGATATTTTATAGTTTATCACGACATAAATTTCTACAGACATTAAAAGATTTTGCAATTCAGCCACGATCATTATTACAATCTGTTCCTACAAGTGGTGTAAGAACGGTGTTTCTTGATGGTTCAGGAAAAACTGGGAAAGCAAGCAGTTGTATGGAAACATAACTCTGATGCTGATTGGAATTCTTCTGTTATTACAGTATCTGGCTCAACTCAAATTGTTGAATTAGCAGCAGCAGTCCATGCATTTAAATTGTTTGCCAATGAGTCATTGAATAATGTAGCAGATTCAGTTTATGTTGTAGGTATCATCCAACGGATTGACACTGCATTTATAAGATCAGTTGATAATCCATCGCTGTTTAATCTACTTTCCCTGGCAAAACTTGTTAAAAATAGAACATATGAATATTTTGTATTACATATTTGGTCACATACATCCTTGCCAGGACCAATTGTAGAAGGTAATGCAGTTGCTGATGCATTAAGCATGATGGTTAATTACCTCATCATCTAGAACAAGCTCGTTTGTCACATGATTTTTTCCATCAAAATGCTCACTCATTGAAAAAACTATTTTCTTTAACAGCAGATCAAGCTCAGCAGATCGTACGCGCCCGCCCTGATTGTCAACGTATTGTGCCTTTAAATACTCCGGCAGGAGTAAATCCAAGAGGTTTATGTGCCAATGAATTATGGCAAACTGATGTTACTTATATTCAATCGTTTGGTCGATCTAAATACGTGCATGCAACTGTTATGTTTTCTGCCTTTGTTGTCGCTACTTACGTGCATGCAACTGTTGATATGTTTTCTGCCTTTGTTGTCGCTACGACTCACGCTGGAGAAAAAGCAAAGAATGTCATCAGTCACTGGCTTCGCTGCTTTGCAACCATGGGAGTGCCAAAGAAAATCAAGACAGACAATGGTCTGGCATATAATTCATGATGGGTTGGTACATTTTTACCAGACTGGGGAGTGACTCACACTACCGGTCAACTGTTGATATGTTTTCTGCCTTTGTTGTCGCTACGACTCACGCTGGAGAAAAAGCAAAGAATGTCATCAGTCACTGGCTTCGCTGCTTTGCAACCATGGGAGTGCCAAAGAAAATCAAGACAGACAATGGTCTGGCATATAATTCATGATGGGTTGGTACATTTTTACCAGACTGGGGAGTGACTCACACTACCGGTATCCCTCATTCACCTACAGGACAAGCTATTGTCGAACGAACTCATTTAACGTTAAAACAAATGCTTGATAAACAAAAAAGGGGGAACCTTCCCTATACTTCCCCGCAGCAATCCTTAGACAAAGCTACATAAGTTTTAAATTTTCTTTATTTGTCTGCTTCTAGGCAACATACTAAGGCTGTGGATCATCATTTTAAAACCAGTGTCATTTTTGTAGAAAAACCAACAGTATATTATAAGGAACTGGGCTCAACTCATTGGGAGGGCCCTGTGTCTCTGCTTACATGGGGAAGAGGGTATGCTTGTGTTCTTCTTCCCACAGGTCCATACTGGTTACCAGCAAGAAATGTAAAGCCAGCCAGGACTTTTGAAACAACAGATAGTGAAAGGGAGATTCAAGAATTAGCAGAGCAAGCAGAGATCACAGAAACGCCGAATGAGGGGAATGGTTCAAATGGATAGACTTGTAATAGAAGATTTTATGTTAATATATAAACTGGTTTTATGTTTCTTATTATCTGGTATATTATGCCTGTGAAAATTGCTTGTATATATGCTTTGTGTGTTTCTTTCCGGTCGGAAGGTGTATGGATTCCACCCATAGCTACTGGAAGGAAAAGAATTGACTGGTATCAAATTATGACGAAGAATCACAAACTGGATTTAGTTGTGAGTACGTAACTTTGAAAAAGGAAGCTGGGAGGATTATTATTGAACAACATGGTGCGATCTGCAAAAACCGCTGTCAGCCAGCAGAGCACATACCTGGCAGGCCTTATTGCACGCACTGGCCACGCGTGCAGCAACGCCGTGTCAGTACTGTGTTCCATAGACTCTGTTGAGGGTGTAAAAGAGGTGGCTCAGAATGGAGGAGGGGAAACTACAGAGCACACTTTATGAATAAACAGGAGATGCCCTGAAGGTGCCGTGCCTATCTCCCTTCTCTGCCATGACCCTGCTAATTGACACCCTCCTGCTCAGCGAAATCTTGGGCGTAGTGGAGACAGTAAGACTCCCAGAAAGGAGAACAATACGCTAGTAACTGCTTCTGCAAGGTTATAATAGAGCATTAAATAGTGTTGTACTTTGGGTAGTAACTGCTTCTTGCAAAGCTATGACAGAGCAATATATACTGTTGTGCTTCTACATAATAACAACAAAAAAAAAGGGAGAAGATGCAGTTTGAGAAAGAAGTTATGCTTAAAAACAGTAGCCATTAAGAAGTGAGTAAACATGTTTCCAGTGTGTTTCTTTGTGCCTTCACTAAATTGAAGAGTATAGATCAATTCAGCTGGAAAAACAAGAACAAAACCAAACCAAAACAAAACAAAAAACACAAAACAAAAAAACACAGAAAAAAACAACCAAACAAAAAAACCCACCCCACCCCCCAAAAAAAAAAAAAAACAAACAAACCCAGACAAAACCCTAAGAACATGAAATGATAGACGGGATTATAGATTGGGGACTATATAGAGTATTTTGGGATGGTAATGAGACTGTTTTACCGTTCCACCATGGCTGTCATCCATCAGTATTACATGGTGGGGGGTCTTGCAGGTCTCTTTTGCAAATGATATGTATAGTGGGTCTTATTCCTCCGTTCATGAGCAAACTTACTGATTAACCTTGCTATTTTTGACTATTTTCATAGATTTCATAGATTTCATAG